AGTATAGCCATATATTAATAGCGTTTATATCATAATTTGAAACATGTAACATGTACACCATTGATAGGCATCAGGTAGCCAGTCCAAGAGCTGAGGTCTGTTCGGATTCGGTTCTGTCAGCTGCTGCGATTGACCCGTTTTCGGTTCTGAGTTTGGCGCCTCTTGTTGACACATTCTGAACCTTAGAGCTGGACAAGCCCGGCATGGCGGCTTGTTGTTTCGGGTGACCTTTTGACCGAAGCGTCACGCGCATGTTGCTGCCGAGGTACATGAAGGAGGAGGAGTGTTCCATCCGCAGGGCCAAGCCGAAGTCGATGAGCTGAAGACAGGTGGGACGTAGTGCGAAAAGCACCGGTGATGCGGCTCAGCCGTGACTGCGAAAAGGGGTGACCCCTCAAATAAAAACACACTTCCTGAACCGCTCTACCACTTGTGCCTACACACCCTGAGGTGCTGTCTTTCAGAGTCCAATTGTTTTTGGCACCTCACATCACGTTTGGCACCTTCCCAGCCTCACATCTTCCAACACGTTCCGATTAGTCTTCCTGGATTGGCACTCCTTTTTAGGGCTTTCCTTTCTCAGCCTTGCAGTCGTTGGAGCCCCTAGTAGCTTCTTGTTACTATAGTAGCAAGAATGCTCCTCTTTGCTCTCAGTAGCGTCCTTGTTCCTAGTAGCGATGCCAGGAGCCCCTAGTAGCGTCCTTTGCTCCTAGTTTCCAAGGTGCAAGATCGGTCCCTTTGACAAATGTGGCGATCGCCCCAGGCAGGCCTTGATATGCCATCGTCTTGTCTTGCCAGGATCGTCCAGCAGCATGATGTTCTCTGCCTCCATGTGGACACACCACGGAACATGGCAGTCAGGACACCAAACGCATATCCCATCATATCCACACAGGAATTCCATACCTTGGCGGATTCATGTTCCACCCCATACCACCCCTCATTTTGTCCGACCAGCTCCATTGGCCACGCTTTTCGGGTGCGCCGTAGGTCGCAGTGCAGCGATTTCCCTTCTCCGGTACCTCAAGCAAATCACGATCTTCCTCGTCCTCGTCCTCAACGCTTTTGGTCTCGTGGAATCGTCCCACCATTTCCCACCTTAACGTCTCGATGAACAATACGATGCAAATGGAGATGCTCCAAGGCCTGCTGTCATCGATCGGGTGGGCTGAAGGGCTTATGACAATTCGACCAGCGGCATAGAGTCAGGTGGTGTGTGGAGAAGATCCTGAATGCCGTTTGCAATACACAAGCTATGATAAGGCCACAAAAAAAAAGCACAAACACACGGAAGAATCAGCGTTGATCTTGAAGGACTGTGACTTTTTGAACTGAGGGATGACTGGTTGAGAAGCACTCATGAACCAATCCAAATGCTCTCAGATTGCCTGCAGTAGCTGGCTGCCAATCAGTGCACAGCAGCCTTCAGTCACCGCCTCAGTGGTTCCAAGCAAAGCTGAGACAAAATGACTTTAGAGATAAGGTTGGTCCTTAGCTAGTAATTGGACATCAACGCTGCCGGGGGGAGCCAACATAGATTCCATTTATATAATTTGATTCATCTATCGCCTTGGGAGCTTGCGCGTCCCTGAATTGTACTTAGAAGAAAACATATGCCAAGAATGACCGCTACTGTACTTGATAAGGACTGAGTACAAACCGCATGTCAATGTGACCTTCCAAACGGTCACCCCGTATGGCAGGGTTTGGGAGCTCATGTCCTGGGCAACGGACAATGCGCGGATTGGCAAGGGCCTGAAAATAGCCACGCGGTGGATTTGGACTGGCTGGCAGATCACAAAGAGATGGCTCCCCAAGAAAAGTCAAAACGCTCATCCCAGAAATCACGCAGTTTAGAAGAATTCATCTTGAAATCTTCCTGGTGCTTCGGGGCTAGCGGCCGGCTTTGGGGGGGCTGGCATCTGGATTTTGTCAACACATTGCCGTGAGTCTGTTGAAGCGGCAGAACTGTTCACTGTTCACCAAACCGGCACGTGCACGTGCAGTTCACAGTTGCGCCTTGCCTGGAACAGCTGTCCTCCAACAATCAAATCCATCACAAGGAAAAGCCACCTCTCCTGCAAAATCGATAGTGACTCAACAGATGCGGGCAATTTTTGGGCTTTGTCTCTGGCTTTGCCACCTTCTTTTGATGTGATCATTCTGTGATCCTCCTGTGATCCTCTTCAGAATCATCACATTTTGGACCGTCTTTTGATGTCTTTGGCTTTCCTCTCTGTGATCATTCTCGACAGTCGCTCTGCATCTGCGTGCATTGAAACTTAGCTTGTGCAAAACCCTCACAGGACATACTACAGGACAAATCAGGATAAGAACAAGGCTCCCCCACACATCATTGGGTGAGCTCCTTTGCCCCATCATATGGATATCTTTTGCTTCAGACTTGACATGAACAACCAATGCTGGTGCCACATCAGTATCATTTCCCACGCCATTCTTGCCCAATTCATTGAAAGTCCTTCTCGAAGACTTCAATCAGCTTGACGATGTACGGGTGGGAGATGGACTGCCATTCAAAACAGATTGCTCTCTCTCTCTCTCTCTATAGGACATAGACATATTTGGATGCAAAGGGCATCGCTACTAGGAGCAAGGACGCTACTAGTAGCTCCTGGCATTACTACTAGGAGCAAGATGCTGCTAGGAGCAAGGGCATCGCTCCTAGTAACAAAGGGCATTGATTCCAACTCCAAACTAAGCCTTTCAGCCACCCAAGGTGCCATTGCTGGTCCTGCCTGGAGAATGCTCGCCTCGGAAGGAGTCTGTGGTCAAAAGCATGGGATAAGGAGGTCTTAGAAAAGAGAAGGACCAGCAGACTTAAGGGATCCTGCTTTGAGACATGGGATGGGTTTCAAGAAGCTTGGTTTTGTTGGAAAGCAAACACTTTAGAGCATACGAGCATATGAAAGCACTCCAGGAGTCACTTCCGCTTTGTAACCAACTTCCTGAGGCACCAACTTCCTTTCGCGCCGAAAGCCAAGCTCCTGCCACCTCAAAGACCTGCCCCAGGTGCGGTCCAAAGAGAAGACAGAACTAAACCACTGGGTTGGCTTTGTCCAAGTATTTAGTATATAATGGGAAGAAGGTAGTTTACGGATCAGGGTTCCAACACTAAGGATTTTATATAATGGTGTTGGTGTACTCTTATATGTATATATATATGTTTAAGCATCAATCAATCGTAATCTAGATCTTTGTAAAAACTATTCTCAACAAAGCATTTCGCTTCAACCCCAGCCCGGGAAGGTACCGGAGCTCCTCAAGGCTCAGTGAGGCACCACCAAATCCTGGCCAATCCCCATCCGACCCAACGAACTCGGCCTCACTCTTGGTGTCAATGGCCTAGAGAGGCGAAGGTGAGACACGAAGGCGAAGGATCGAGACGAAGGACTTCCTTAAGGACACTTGTAGCGTCCGACCGCTCCGTTCGTAGCGATGCCCGAAATGCTCCGAACGTAGCTTCAAGACGAAGGACTTTTCTGCCCCCCCAAAACAATTGGAGGCCATCGCCAGTAAGTAGCCATTGCTAATAGGTTGGGGGCCATCGCTACTTCCATACTCTTCCATCTACATTCCCCTAGAACATCTGTGCCGCGCAGTAACTCGCCGGCATGCTGATTCTGCTGCTCATTTCAAGACATGGTAAGACCGACACCAAATTTGCACAGAAATGCACAGAATCTACTTTCCCAAATGTCTTCCAAAGAACATAGAGTGTAACTGTAACTCTATAAACATGTATAAACCAAAGCTGTTCCAAAAAACACCTGCTCCCTCAACTGCCTGCTGTCCCCGAAGATTCCTGGAAGTTGGCAACCCACATTCTACTATCCACATCTCCTCCTCCAGCCTTCACAGCGTACTTGGTGTCAGGATCATGAAGAGGCCAACACTTCCGAACCTGCGAAAGCAGCAAAGGCACGGACACACACACACACAAAAGCAGTAAAGGGCTCTGGAGTCATCGTGCGAGCTGTTTAAGCATGGAGGCTGACCTAGGCTGACCTAGCCAACGTAGACCAGCAGCCTGGAGCCAAACAACCACTGAAGACCTCCGATCCCCAACCTGTCCAAAGGAGCCGCTGCCCAGCAGGCTTCCAATCTCATAGACCTGCGACCAGGCGACCCTTGTGAAGCCCTTGTTTTGGCTTGCCGAGTGCCAACCCAAGAGATATAGATCTTAAAGTCTTAGACCTCAAATTGAGTCTACTACACCTGTGACAAGGATCGACACAACCGATTCTACGGATTCAGGCTGCGAGGGGCTGAACCAAGACTTGGGCCTGGGGAGGCATCAAGTTACATCGAGTCAAACCCTGGTGATCGAGTTTCTCTCTGAAAGCTGAAAGCGCTCCTCAACCAGCAAGGTCGCCATCCCCAAAAACAATCAGCTTTGTGTTCCATGCCAGGAAGATGTCAGATGTCATCCTTTCTTTTGATCTGACTACCATCTTCCCTCTCTTCAGAACTCCCTCAAAAAGGCCCGGAAAAGCTTCATCTCCCACGGACTTTTTACGAGTCGCGCCCTACGTCTGTCGACGCGCGCCCGGTTGCCCGGTCGGATTCCACTGTCGAAGGCCTCAAAGAAGTTCACCTCGTGAGGCCAAGGCCGTAGAAGTCGTTCTTCCGAGAAGTCCCTGAGGCACGACCGGTTGACCCAAAAGGCAGACCGGTCTGACAGAGCTGATGGATGAACACTCTTGACCGCTCTTTTTTTTCTGGCGAACTTCCACACATCAAACATCCCCCAAATTTGTTGGCGCTTTTTTCTTTGTTTTGAGGTTTGTGAGCCTGTGTGAGCAAACATAATATAGATATAGTAGGGAATAGCAGGAGCACCATCACGAGTTTCCAAAAAGGATACAAGGCCTTCTTGAGCAATGACAGTAATCTCCTTGCTTGAGACACTCTAAACTCTAACAAAATGACCTCTTGGAATTCAACCGGTCTACAAAGTGCCAAGCTCCACCCGAAAGCTCTTTTTTCTCACGGTTGACGAGTCTAACTTCAGATGCTGATGAGCACACCAGGATCCTTCTTCAAGCAGTACCGCCTGGCCGGGTGGGCCAACACAACAGAGGCTTGTGAACCAATTTGGAGTTACAAACACCTGGGCTTAATCGCGTGGTTGGGAGAAATGAAAGTAGCTGCTACCTAACATCAAGGAATCACAGCGTCATGATAGCTGTTCTAGCTTTCACGATGCAGTATTCTTCAGTGGAGGATTCTTCTCAAGCAGCAAAGCTGAGGAGACCCACAAAGATTGCCTGTCGGTTCTTGACCCGTGGAACTGGCCGAAGCTGTGCGAGATTGTGGAAGGACAGGTTTTTTTCATTACCTCAAGACCACAGACTCCCGTCCCTTCCCTCCCTCGTCCAAAGATTTAGTGAAGCTGAAACCTCAGCACCAATGAAAAAGGAACAGCAACTCACCCTAAATGCCCCACGAACGGCGCTCCTGGCCTGTCTAGAACGACACTGGCATAGGGGTCCACAGGGCAGCTTGCTTCGCGCACATATGCATGAAGCTCACCTCCAGTTGCAGAATGGTTCTCTTGATGTCGCTTGCCTTTTCTGGGTGGAAGGTCAAGTCAACTGCCCGGGTCAAAGTGGACCTAGAATCGCACGTCTCATGCGGTTTCGAACTCCCCGAAAAGTCGACATGTCCAATGACCCACAGACCGAAGGTTTGGCCAAGCGAGCAACCTCTCGGAACGTGCATCTGTTTGTGCACTCAGCGCTTTCGGCTTGTTTGCTCTTGGAACTGAGTCTGTAAGAAACAAACAAATCCCCACATATTTGGGTTTTTCAACCCCCTTCTCCTTTGGGATTTGCTCATGTTTGAAATTTGAAAGCTGCACTTAACCAGGATCCCGTTGCATGCATGGCCATCCCCCAGCCATTACATGATCTGTAAAGGTATGGCTCCAACGAAGGCAGCACCCCAAAGCCCCATGACCGCTGCACCAGGCACCTGTTGCTGCTGACATCACCGCGGTATAGGCCGTGTGTGGATTGTGCACAGGATAGGCTGAAACTACCGCGAACAGACCTGAGACACGTGGAGAGGCTGGCAAAAACTTTTCCACCTACTGTACTTCAGGTTACTTCAGGAGGATTGTACATCTCTACACCTGCACATAACTGGCCTCTGAGCCCCGGACATGTTGACAACTCGAAGATACGGCAACGCAAGAGGACATGATCGAAATGGCAACGCAAGAGGAATCCTGAACAATTAGTTCTTGTAATCAACTTCCCAAATTAGTGAGATTTGGCGACACATTTGCCGTTTTCCGGGCGCCTTCCTTCAACAGTACCACCCGAAACAAACAGCTCTCTCCAAAAGAATCAAACATTTCAGGGGGTAAGAAATTGACATCAACTCCATGATCATCCATGAGGATGTCAGACGGCTTTCCCATGCTTTCCCCGTGCTTCTCCTGCCCTTTTCTGGCCGCAACCGTTTTGGCCAAGGAGCCCATGGCCGTGGCTTCCTCCCTCCCCAAACGCCCCAGCAAGGCTTCCGCCGCCGTGCGCCGGGGGTCCTCTGGGTCGTCGGGGCGCCACCTACAGCGAAGTGCCGCTCCGTTCGTAGCGTCCGACCGCTCCGTTCGTAGCGATGCTCTTTGTTCCTGGTAGAGTCCGATCACTCCTAGTAGTAAGGCCAGGAGCCCCGTTCGTAGCATCCTTGCTGTGAGGATTCGGATGTGCATCTTATCGCAGTGACGATGAAGTAGATGAGTTAAAGGAACCAAAAACATCTCACCAACATTTTTTTTGAAGTCTAACATGTATAATTCATATTGTATAAGAACTATATAATTATATATATGTATATATATATATATGTATGAAACTTATTATATCTCGGAATCGCCTTTTTCATTCTTTTTCAATATTTTTTCTTCATCTTTCTTCTAAAGATGAGTTCGATAATTTGGATCGATGTTGGGGGGACCGTAGATCAGTGCGTCCAAAAAGGAACAAACTAGGCAAATGGGTTTGTAGAAGACATCATTCACAGTCGATTTCCTAGGATTTTTTTCTCAGAAAGCACTAAGAAGACTAGATTGATTAGATGTCAGATCTTTGAATCCGCCGCCCCCCAGCCGCGGCTTAGGGTTCCTCCTGCACTCCTTTGGTGGACCAGCGAGACTCTGAGGCAGGGTGGTTGCAAGTCTGGACTGGACCATCTGCACAGGAATTCGTTAGCGATGGCCTCCAGCCCAATAGCGATGGCCTCCAACCCAGGTGGACTTGAAAAATAACATCTCCAGACTGGACGTCTCAACAGAATGAGTTTACATATTTGGACATGCTCTTTTCTTGTTCTCTTTTTCTAGCCAGGACCTGAAGCCAACTTTGTCATCAGTAATTTGGCCCCAAAGCACATTCCACAACATACACTGCAGCACACTCCCACACGTATTTGGGACAAGATACCTGTCTGTGTTGCATTGGCAAAGGTAGAAGTCCTCAGCTTGCTTGAATTTCAAGCCCTATATCTTCGCCACTGAACCCTACATTGCCGGTTCAACCGCTGGAATTCTTTGACCGACATCAAACAAGTTGTGCAGTCGAAGCCTCTACTTCTTCCCCGCTTGCAACAGCTGTGGATCGAAGCAATGGAATAAACGAGTTCACCACCAAACACACATGATCATGCAAAAGAACATCAAAAGAACTAAGCTGTCTACTGACCGTGGAGTGGCCCACACGGAGCTCCAGATTGCACAGTCTCAGGCTTCGAACGCAAATCCCGTGGCACTCTCAGCGGACGCTCATTCAAGAACGCTACGAACGGGGCTCCTGGCATCGCTACTAGGAACAAGGACGCTACTAGTAACACTGCAATGGGCCTCGCTCGAGGCCTCGCTGGGCTCTGGTTGAGTCAAGTGTCATCCGAAGGGAACCAATCAGTCTTCTCCGAAGTGGTGAGGTTTCGGGCGATGGCCACGCCCTGCTTGGGCTTCGATCCAGCAGCCACAATGTAAAACCTGAGCATGGCGATGCTAGCGGCGATCATGCCGCTTTCGATATATTCCAACATGAAGAGACCTGGGAGAGACCTGGGAGCTGATGATCCTACGAGAGAATATACATGACCATCCTGACCATCCTGGGAGAAGCTTTATGTTTGCTCTTGATGCAGCTTCACCATCCTGGGAGAGCCCTGGGAGCTTGGACGTGGCCCAAACCAGGCTGGTCTGGGCCATTCACACCCCACAAGTTAAATATATTTAAATATCAACCCTCCAGTGGTTTGACTAGTATGGGACCTCCCCAAACAAATTGGTTGCTTCGCCGGAGTTTCCTTGGATCAAAACCTCCGTCCACTCCTGTGGGCGAGGCACGGCGCCGCCAGGCGTGTGTGGGTGACGTTGTCCACGAAGTCCTCGAAGGAGGAGATGCTGGGCGTCTCAAAGGCACGACGGAAGACCAACATCTGAGAAATCACACCACTCCTCGGTCTTCAGACATTGCACGCGAGATGGTCCACACAGATCGAGATGTGAAGATGTGGAGAGTGCCAATTTGGTTCCTCTATGTTCCTATTGAGCTTTTCTTGGGGGAAATTGTGACTGGAGAGTCAAACAGCCTGACGCCCGGTTCAGCATGGAATCAGGGAGCACCCGTCACGTGGGAGACGTGAACCCAAAATCCAGCAAGTTCCCTGTAGGGAGAGAGCGACATGACCTCAGAGATGGGCCTTTGGCCCTGGTGGGCTGTTTTTCGAGCACTTGATGGGCTGGGCCATGGACTTCCATCATCCTTTTGGGTCATAGCCATTGGTGAGAAGCCTAATCCTGCCCAGAATTGTAGCAAAGTCCTGCAGGAAATGGGGAACAGCTGAACCATTGGAAATCTTGTGGAACACTGAGAGACAGCTCAGCACAGCAATGCTCTATGCCATTTTGTGCTTTAATCCATCACAATACTGTACAAAGGCGGGAAATACGGTGGTTAAATGTTATATACATCCCGCCAATTCGAATGGGTCCCTGGGTGCGGGTCAAATTCCCAATGGAAGCAGAATGACTGACAAACCATTTCGGCGAATGAGCTGTGGGGTTAGAATCCAGCGAGAGCTTTGGCCGGGCTGCGTCATCATCCCTCTGCTTAAAGACAACAAACATATGTACAGCCACTTGAATAGCAACAAATCTGCTTGACTACTGTATATACAAGACATCAAGACCTCTTCATGCCCTTCTGTTCCACTCCGAAGGTAACGCGAATACCGCGCGAAGAGATTTACGCTCACTTTGAGGCCACCAGGCTTTGAACTTCCTTCTGGATCTTCTCCATGGGATGCTTCATCAACTCGCTCAGCTTCCCCGCCACCAGCGGCACATGATCTCCGAAGGCCTCGCTGAAGCGATCGGTCACTGTGTCTTCGTCCAAGGCCAGCAGGGACATGCCGTTGATCCACAGAATGACGTCCCCGGGATGGAGATCTCGTTGTCCCGGTTTGGGCAAAACCTGTGGCAGGCGTGTGCACTTCGCCGACTCAAGAAGGTGGTATCTCTAGTGGCTACTAGTTAGTTGGTTGGTGGGAGGGCAAAAGATTGGACCCAGCCAGGGATATTCGATATTTCTGTATAAATCTGCGATAGTGTAAGACTTGGATAATCTGAAACGCGAAGGCTACCTCGCATTGAAGTCTGTTGAATTCGCTCGGCGGGTCTTCTTATTATGCGAGGGTCTGTGATGTGTCAACCTAGAAACAACTCACTGACTCAATGAGGTTTGGAAGTTGAAAGAGGACGAGCATGCACACGGGTGTGACATGTTACATAGCTTGAAAGAAGCTGTAGCCGTCTTAAACACAAAAGTATGACCCACATCCAGCACTCACCTTCCATTCATTACAACATCGTTTATCATGGTATATCAAGCGAACATCTCCAACGTCTGCTCAAGGACAACACGACAACCCCTCCAGACGTGTGCTCCCACATCAGACTCTTCACCTCTTCGGTTCTCATTTACCCTTGAACGTTTTGAAACCCGATTTTTTCCTGCGCTAAAGTATGTAAGACAATTCCATCAAATTCATGACACCCTTTAATTTAAAAGAGAACTTGGGACACAATGGGAACCCGAAACGCATCTTCATGCGTCCTGCGGCGGACGCATGCGTCCTGCGCTGCTGACCTGGTCCACGGCGTAGCCCAACTTCACCCAGCGCAGCTCCAGGCCCGCTCCGTCGCCGGTCGCCACCGACAAGCGACCTTTGCGCAACAGGTCTTTGACCTGATACGACCGGGGCTCAAGAGCGACCGAGTTCCGGGGACGAACGCCAGGTGTTTCAAATGACGGAGCGTCCCGTCAAAATGACATACGCACTCTCTAGTACATTGTTAGGGAATTGGATGCTGCTTGTCCCGCGAGGGCAAAAGCACCAAAGATCCAGGACCCACATAGAGAACAAACAAAAAATACGGTCAGTTACAGTAGGTGTGCATCATAGGAGGTGACGAACATTTTGACTTGAGAAGTGAAAGTCCATGTCCACCAAGTATGCATCCCTTGTCTTTGATCCAAGCCGTGATAGATCATGAGCGAACAAACCCAGCATCAAACTAGCAGCATCTTGAAATTGGACCAGTTATATAATTAGGACAATTTAGGGTCATTTAGTGACTGCTACTGTCAGTCTGAACAACGGGCAAGCCACTTCCATCTCCTCCTCCTCATCTGAATCAACAGGCTCGAGCAAGTACTTGCCACCACCTAGAGCGTCCAACGGGAGGGTCTCTTCAAAATCATCCTCCAAATGTTTAATTCGGATCCCTGCATCCGTGACATTCAGGACAAGAGCCATGTAGGTCCCTTGCCATTTTCCAACCAGAACTCGGACAGAGACCTTCTTTCCAGGGAGCTGCTCTTTGGCAGTTTTCAGCTTCAGGTCTTGTAGAATACCTTCCCACTTCACCTCGACAGGGAGTTCCTGGGTCCTTCCATCTCGAAGACTCTTGAACTCCAAACAAACTCATGGACTTCTAACATCTACTCGTAGTTAGGATTTCAGTACTAGAACTTCTGGAAGCGTTCCTCCGATTTGGGCGCCGACCCTTTCCCTACCTGGATCTCCTTGAGCCGCACGACATGATGCTCCTCACACCATTCTAAGACATCTTCCAGGTATTCCTCCAAATCGATCTCTTCCAACCACTCTTCTAAACCAGCGACGGCAAAGCTAGGTTTCGAGGCCTTCTCCTCTTTCTTCGGCACCTCTGGCGAAAGATCCTTCAACTCTGGCAGAATGTCATCCCAGTTTTCTTGCACCTGAAGGGTTGTCTCAGCATGAGCACGGTTTGGATGGACTACCCGTGGAAACTTGGTGGAACACTTGGTGGAATGACATTTCTGCATCTTTGAGATACCTATATAGATCTGGGGTGGTTTGATGGTTTGTGAAGAATCCGCATCCACCCCCTGAGCCTCTTCCAACATCACTGCTCCATTTTCTTCGCACCAGTGCTGCACCTGCGTGAGGTACTTCTCATAGCCCTCTTGTTTCAGCCATGCACGCAAGCCCTCCATCTCTGGAGCAACTGAGCTCGGAGCCGCTGGCGTCACATATCCCGCCTTTGACTTGGGAGCAACCACCACGGTGCATTCGGACTGAAAATAGGATTCAACCTCGCTTTTGCTGTAGACCCCCTGATACTTCTGGATCATCTCTTGTAGGGTCTGTGTCTTGCCATCGTAAGGATCAGTGCGTTTTTTCCATGGCGCCAATTGAGATTTGGAATGCAGAATGATCGCACCAGCAAACTAACGCTTATCACTTAAAGTACAAGTGAAAACAGAATACAACTACAGTAGCTACGGTAATTACAGTGCTCAGTGGTTGTAGAATAAGATCTCAAAGATGTTATTACTGTCGGCTTTTAGTCCTTCGATGTTCTGATTCACCCCAATGACATCATAACTGCATTGACCCTCTGAGAGTCGCTGCGGACAAAGCCAAGTCTTGAATTGGCTGGTCAAACATTTCAAGAGATTCTACACCCGCATGCTGCAGGTTGCTGCATGATGATATATATATATATACCCTATATATATATATATATACCCGATGCTGCATGATGACCCTGGGACATTAGAGTGTCCCACTCACTGAGGGTCCACACACTGGTCCGGTCACACAGCACTTGTGTGAATCGAAGGAAACTTGGAGCTACTCAGAGGAACGCTACGTACTTGGAGGCCATCGCTACTAGGGTGGAGGCTATCGCTACTAGTAACAAGAAGCGGCTACTGTCTTCTGAACAATCAGAAGTGACCGAAACGACTACCGGGAGTTGCCCTCCGTCGCTCGGAACTTCTCGTTCACCGCCCGAGACGCTGGATGTCTGCCATGATCGCATCCAGCTTTCGGACCGGATCCGTGCTGCGCCAGTTCTCTTGCACCGAGGCCACACCTCCGGTGTCGGGCACTGACCCGGGCAAAACAAGAGGAGGCACTTGTGGGTTGAGGTGGTTCTGCTGCTATCGTGAACATCAAAATGACCTCCTGAGCTATTGGAAAACCTCTCTTACTCCCGCAAAGATTAAGTGTGACACAGTAGAGTCGCCTTCGATTCTTTGGTTGCAAAGAGTTCCTTTGGCTGTATCACTGTCTATAAATTCACAGCGCAATGCCCCAGAGAAAGCCCAAAAGCATCGGTGCGCTACAAAAAGATAAGAACAGTCACACATCGGTCCACTCCAAAAAGGCACCCATGGTTTCTGTGCTTGCTGAGACGTTCTGTTCCTATTCGTCTCATCCGAATGGGAACGTAAATCGTTCGGCCTCGCTTCACTGCCCGGCTCACGCCGGTGGAGAGAAGTGTGTACCAGTCCACGCCTGCCATGCGCCGTGGGTCATTAAGCTCTTGTGCTTGCACTAAACTCAAACAAAAAAGTCACACCATACCAACATATACCAACCCAAAGAACAAGTGCGAACAACAACACCTTTATGCACTGCCCAACAAATTGCAACAGAAACAACCTCAGGCACAAGCTCTCTTAGGTGACAACCACTTTGTGCGCGCATTTGCGACAACATGTGAATACACATAGACCAGTACATACTGGAATGGATGCTCCTAGGTCCAAATCTATCTTTGCAAGCCGAACCGTCTCAACATTTAGTTTCGGATTGACGAGAACCCCAGTAGGAAGACCTTGACTCTAGACTTCTGGTAGGCCCTCGTCCAGTGTGTGGAGGAAGGAAAGCCATCGAGATTTGAAGGTTTCATTTCATCTTTTTTTTTGTGTTGCATTTCAATTTTAGCAGGTCTATCCCAGCGCATTTTTTTGGCGCGTTATTTATGGGCTGTCTTTTTGCTTGTTGTTCGCATGTGTGTCTTTCCCTTTTTGTTCAACTTGTTTTGCATTTCGCTCGAGGTGTTCCGACTTTTTTTGAGCTCCCAGCTGGTTGGTGCCAGGACAGGTTCTCCTTCCCCTTCCAGTGTCTTCCTGTCTCACCCCCCCGTCTGGACCTGTCCCCTTGCCCCAACTCCAACATCCCGCATTCTCCCCAGCTATGTAGCTCAGGCTAGGCCGCAGGCCGGAGAGAGAGGTAGGGAGAGAGACGCCTGTCCTCCAGGAATGTTGCTTTTTTCTCCTTTGTACTGTATATTATCACTGCGTAAATCTGGCTGCCGTTTTCTACACTTTTGGTTTGCTTTTCTTTTTTTTCTGGGTTCGTGTAGCATCTCTTTTTCAACATGGGCCTTTCCCAGTGGAAGCCGACAAGAACCCGATTTAAGGGTAATCAAAGTCGTTTCAATGCCCTGATCTAGCTTTCCGATCAAAGCGTCATGAGTTGTTCAAACCAAGACAGAAACAGAACATCTGTAAAAACGGACAGAAACACTAGGAGAAAGAGAAATGGATGCTGAAGATCAACCACTATGAGTGAACCTTAGGCCTCAGATGTGAATTGGACACAACCTTGTGTCATGCTGCAATGTCGTATGGTGTAACACAACCTTGTGTCATGTGAAGCCGACGGGTAGACTCTCATCGCTTCCCATCCTTCGAACAAAGGCTCTCCCTTGTCGTCGACAACACTGATCCGGAGGGTCAGGTTTCGCGCAGCAAGTGGGCTTTGATCCTCAAACAGCAGTTGTTTATGAACAAAAGCCAAGCAGTTCTCCATCGTTTTTTCATCGTTGTTCAAGCATCTGTGAGTTCTGTTTCTGCCAAACACCAATGCAATGCCAGCACAAAGAGTGACCAAATAGGTGCTAAGATGCCATGTTTGCAAGCTGCATAATGGAGCCATCTGCGGTTTCTGCCACTATACCAGTGCACTCCCTTGCGTCCAGCTTCTGTACCACGTCGCTGTGTGCCAACTCATGAAAATACAGCCAAGCCGACAAATACCTGAGTCTTCTGAGCTATGCCAAAACCTGGTAGAAACTCCCTTGTACCGGAGCGCGCACTCACTGATTGTTCGTGAAGCCGCTTCAACCAAATCCCCGCCCTAAAAAACCGGATGCTGTAATCCCCACTAAACCATCCATTTGAGGGTGCACTGATCATAGGTATTCATAGGTCATTTCAGGATGACAAGTCCTTTTTGCACAGCAATGGACGCCCCTCAGAGTGCAGCCCTGTACCATCATCTACCCAGGCGGCGGCAACTCTCCAAAAGTCTTGAAAGATGGAATGGCCAAGCCACTCGAAGGTGACTGGAAATCCACGGGCAGCAAACTGCTGCGCGATACCCTGAAGCTCCAAGGCTGTCTCGGGGTAGTGGCTAGAGACCTCAGAGATGTAAACTATGACGGCTATGCGTTGCCGGCATCAGATGTGTCAGGAGGGGGGGCTTTGCACAGTCCATGACCTTATAATCACAGGACCACAACCAATAACCATAGCGGCTTCTCCAAGAGCAAAAGAGCAACTGGTGAAACAATATCAAACAGCGAATTCAAAAGTTCCTCGTCCGCACAAATCAACCAAAGACCACCTTGGACATGATTTGAGCTGCGTGGAAGATTTTGAATTTCCACTTCTTACACAAGTACCATCGAGCATCTCCTTTTAGCCCAGGCACTGCCTTCCCCAAGGCATCAAAGTGCGATGCATTGAGCTGATCGAAGAGGGACTTGTTGTGCTCTTGGAAGACGGGCAAAAAGGACTCTTCGTAAGGATGCTTGGAGAGAATGAGATCTACTGCACCATCCCAACCTCAGAGCTACCAAAGTTCTTTTCTTCAAAACAGCGAAGAGAGACTCAGACTGGGTAGCGGGTAGCGCAACAGATCTCTTTCTGGTTGCAGAACTCATGTCTCCGGCTTCCTTTGTTGCAGAACCCTCTCTGTCTATCAGCCTCTCAAACTCCCTAATCTTGGTCTTATCTTGGGCCCCCAAGCGTGTGTGCGCTGGCTTGCGCAAGTCCAAGGTGAAGCGCGGTGGCAGTTCCAGCGCTTGTGTCAAAAGAAAGGATGTCCACAGGCGCCAACGACCCAAGAAGGCCATGGCTGAGATATCGTAAAATCCAGGAGGCCAAGTGGAGGAACAGGCAAACAGCAAGCGGAATGCAAAAATCGCGGGTACAAAGCCAGTCTCTGCTGGGATATGGATTATCATCTACTCCTTGTTTGGATGGCCTCTTGAAAGACTCACTTCTTTTTGGAGGGTGCTGTACGGAAGCTGGGAGATCATCCTTGAGCCAAATCTGAGCCGTCTTCCATCAACCTCCAGATCTCTGGCTAGAAGGACAAACCCTCACAGGATTTCGCCCAGCCGGCCATGAAGGATCGGGCCCAGCCAGCCTGTCTGGAAGACTGCTAGTGCCACCCATCACCTGCGAGGTCCTGCAGGTGCAGTGGATTCTGAAAGATCCTCGTGTGAAGGGACTTTTGCACTAAACTTGGCTGCTTCGAAAACCACACCTCATTAGCAGCTTCTTGAGACGCAAGCTGTTCTGGCTGGTGGAAAGACTTCTTCTGGAAGTACTTGCTAGCATGATCACATGTGTTTACCTTGTATGATTACATGAACTTCCACCCTACCGCGTGTAGTTCATAGTTCATCACTCTCTATGCCCTCTACACAATTGCATTTGTTCGATCAACACCCTTGGACCCGTTTGGCCCCTCTCCAGGGCTTTCCGCGACCTGAAACAGTCCTGCCGGCTCCCCAGGCTGCCCTGAATATTGAAAGCAATACAGCCTTGATCCCAAAAATAGCCACCGGAACGCGCTGTTGCGATCTGCTTACCTATAGACACATGGTGAATTGTGTGGTTGGGGAACATCTTCACACGTATTTACACGAAGGGCCGAATGAACACTCACTTACTCCTGATGCGACTTCTCCTTGGGTGGACTGCATGTGAACATGATATCGAGCAAGGCCTTGGATAGGGTTCAACAAGTTGGTAGTTGAGCACACGAAGTATACATCATGATAATAATGAGCTCCATCACAGAATCACTCTTCTTTTCCCGCAGCTGCATCTGCGACAACTGTAGCATGAACACATCATGCATGGTCTGGGCATTAACGGTTGCTGAGCTGTGTCAGTCACTCGAGAGCTGCTCATAGTCATGCTGCACTTGGAGCATCACCAGAATTGCCTTCACAGAAACAGGCTCTCGGACCACGTGAGAGTGTGGCAAAACATGGCAAAACGAAAGCATCACGGCGCGCACGAGTGTTTCTCATGCAAGCTCTTCCAGCTCTCAATATCTCTCAATCATTACTGCTAATTAAACACCTCCATCTTCTGACTGCTGCTCTCCACGGGCAAAATCAATAATTAAAAATTGTCATAGAACAGAAGGTAAGGAACAAGAAGCTACTAGGGGCTCCTGGCATCGCTACTAGGAGCAAAGAGGCTGCTAGGAGCTCCTGGCCGTACTACTAGGAACAAGAAGCTATTGATTTGAAAAGGGATCCTCCTCCTGGTCCGACAATGAACCCCGTGTGCCTCGCTCATCTCTTCTCGGCTCAAGCCATATCGTTCGTACCTGGCAGCTCCAACTCCGACGCGGTGAAGACCCATGGCTTGCGTGTACACTGGTTTTCCGGCAAGACCACCATTGCTGGATGGTCTCTTCAAATGTCAAACGCGTATCTTTGCGTTTTTGGAAGTTTCCTGGGCTTGGCCGGATTTTGAGCTATGGCGAAAATGACCTGATCGATAGACTGGTGTATTCTCTAGATAGAGGGTTAGAGCATCTGGGATCGTTTTCCAAGCTGCAGCGTGTCCGAAACTTGTGGCATTTTTCAGGACGACACCTTCTCAATCATAAAGACACATACAAGGAAAAGCACATGGACAATCAGTTTCGACCCTGGCTGAACTCCCAAGTTTTGACAAAGCTCACCGATTTGGGTTTGCGACTGGTTGGCATGGTTTGGATGAATCTTGTACCGCCTGTAAAAACCCGCGCTGCGAGGCAAAACCCCTCACGAGGCTCACTGGTGTAAGTAGGCGGATGCCCTCAACATCGATGTTGCCCGGCTGGTGGTTGAACTAAGAGCTGGCCTCACCAGAGGACGCTACGAATGGAGCATTTCGGGCATCGCTACGAACGGAGCAAGGACGCTAAGAACAGGGCTCCTGGCCGTACGACTAGGAGCAAGGACGCTACTAGGAGCTTTATCCAAAGCTGCTCACCCACTGTGGTGGGCCGAAGAGATGATTTTTCACACCAGCATTGGCGCAGGGTTTTTGAATGGGACCACTTCAAGCACCAGTTCTTGCTGAGAACAAAATGAGATGGTGATCGAATCACTTGTCGAAGCGATTGCCATTTGTGCCAATTGCTGGTCCGCGGTGGAGAAGAAGAGTCATGCACTTCCTCTAAGGCTCCAGCAAGACCGCCTGGCAGTTGCTGATGCAACCCAGACTCCTGTCTAGTCCGCCGACCTGAGCTGACAAGCCGACATCCCGTCGGCCCACGCCACTCAGCAGGTGGTTGCTAGGTGGTTGCTAGGGTACAAATGGGGTAGAGTACAGTACATTTTGGACACACGTTGTTTGCTGTTTACTGGGCCACTTGGGCAGACGGGAGACCGACTCGTCCTCACCTACGAGTCGCCACCTCCGCTCAGCAGCTGGGCTCCCTGCATGGTGAGCATCTGCGTGGACCTGGCCAAAGTGAACCGTTTGATAGCGCATTTCAAGAGGGCTAAGAAGCAAAAACCAGTGGAAACAAAAGACAGTGGAGAAAAGAAACATATGCGAAGCTTAAACAGTTTGGTGAGAGAAGAGTGGAGCACCTGTGGAGTTGCATTGCTTGATGTCTTGATGTCCATCAATATGTGCGAAGATATGAGGACTGTCAGAGTGTCTATGAAACCCACCCTGTGCTCAGCATGATGGACACTAGGCGACAAAAGGTTTGCTGAAGCCAAACAGGAAAGTGAGCACATCCTCATCGCCAGGCTTCACACATCCATACACCAGTGACACCAGGCACAACTTGCTACCTGCATCCCATCCACAGAGTGCTGCCACAATGGCATCTTCTTCAAGGGTTCCTGGTGGGTGGCGTTCATGAGAGGAAGATGCGCACCAATGGCATGCATGGTACAATAGGCTGTACCCCTTGACAGCGGCCGACAGCAACCTTCACATCCAAAAGACAACGCATTGTTAAACAATTGTCACATCACTTTTGCCAGGAATGCAGTACCTTGAGTTTTTGACTGCAAGGAGATATGCTAAAGGTCAGCCAAACTCAAAAAACATTGGCATTGCTATGAGCTGACTTCCTTCCATAGGAATCTCTCGCATCTGTCGCAGCCCCTGTCCAGAGAGGCTTCCGAAAGATCATCTCCCCAGAGGAAGGCTGATGCCTGACTTGGTGGCAAGGAATTGTCTCAAGAACTTCAGCCCAGAACCCCACAAGAAGAAAACTAGGACAACTGGTATTTCCATTGGTTCTTGAATAAGTCAGAGGGAACACTCGGAGAAAACACAGCTTCGACTAAGGCATCTAAAGGCATCCGTGGCTCAACGACCGACCGTCTCCCGACCGACCGAGGTCGAATCGGTCTCTCGGCACCCAGACCGAGACTGCCCGGCAGCGGGTGGATCTCACCTGCTTCGGTGAAGTCTTTAAGACAGGTCGGACCCCACAAGGCTATGAACACTTGAGTGTTAGGCAACAGTTGAATAGCCTTGTTGAATGTTTTTCTACTCTTTTCCACTGTTCGTGATGTGCCTATATGTGCCTGTAATGAAATTTGGACAAAACTTGACAACAAACTCCGCGAAAGGGGCCTCTGGAGAGCCGCTAGGCCTGTTTCAACGGCTTGCTGAAGCTACAACTGCTGAATAAAGAAGTTTGTGCACTGATGGGTCGATGTCTCAATGGATGCCTAAAAGGGGCCCCAAAGGAGGAAACTAGGAACAAGAAGCTACTAGGGGCTCCTGGCATCGCTACTAGGCGCAAGGACGCTACTAGGGGCTCCTGGCCTTACTACAAGGAACAAGAAGCTATTAAATTAGGGGCTCCTGGCATCGCTACTAGGAGCAAGGACGCTACTAGGGGCTCCTGGCCTTACTACTAGGAACAAAAAGCTACTAGTAGCAAAACGTTCATCGATGTCCGTCAACCTTCTTCCATTCTTGAAGTATTTGTTATCCAGAACCTTCATCAGCCAAAGCTCGGTTTGTGTCGAAGCTGCCCGCCTATCAACCAAGCTGCCCGCTTCGCATAGCTGGACCATCCGCCTGACAAGGAAGTAATCAACAAAAGGAAAAGACAACATACTCCTGTACTGTCCCTCCACCACCCAAGATACCCGCGGTCTTCTAGATCCCTTGGATTCATACCAATGCAAGCTGGACCTTCATTTCTTTCCTTGTAGTACTGCCCATCAGCTGATGGAGAACATCTCAGTGTTTCTTCCTTAAACGACCAGCATGGAACAAGGCCGCCTGCTTCTACTTCAAAAAGTAGCTAGCTGCCTCAATAGCACACATGACATATGTTTGACCGCATGGAGGTGTTCATCCAATGCTTTCTTTTTAACTCCAATGCTTTCTTTTTGACTCTACAACAATAGTTCAATAGACAGTACATTGGAGTGTGTCCTCCATATTGTCTCGTCAAATTTGTCCTCGAAGGCGTCTCATTGTGACAAGTCATTGTGATCCCAAGGCTTGAGAAAAAACTCATTTCATGAGATTCAACTCTTCACTTTCACTGGACTCAGCTTCGAGTAAAGGTAAGCCACCTCTCCGCCATCCGTGCCCTATTGCGCCTTTGCAGCGCAGTCCAACTGTCCGATGTGAACGCCTTCGAAGCGACATCGGCTGGAGACAGTTACGCAACCCCCACACGAAGACAAGCCACTCCTTGCTCTCCGGCTTCTGCTGATGAGTTCATCAAGTAGTGTGCTCTAGAGATTTCTAGAGCATTTGTCTACATTTGAGACCACTGAAAGGATGAGCTCCTTTTTGCTAAGACGTGATTCTTTGTGGCCAAGCCTGGCTAGATGGTAACTGTTTCCGGCCTCTGCACCTTTGACCACCTGTGGCAAAGCACGCCTAGGACCAAGCCAAGTGAAAAGACTGATTGGAACAACCCCTCCTGGAGTACGTCAACTGCTTGAAGGTTATGTCACTGTAAAGGGCGGTAGAAACACACTATTTTGTGTAAACTTGTAAGCTGTCTTCCTTGAGATCAACCTGAGATCGTTACACTGTGCACAAGCGGTAAAGCCTCAGCTTCGCCATGCAATGTTTTATTGATTTCCGGTATTCAATCAATCTTCCCACTTCATATTGCTCGGACAAACACACTTTGTCAGGCTCGAACCTCTCAGGGCTTGGGATGAGACAGCAAGTAAACATCTAGTAAATCTAGTAGGAGCCATGCTCAACTTCAAGAGGCTTATGGTGCTCATCATGATCAGCCAACGAAGCAAACATGATCCTTGTGCTCTCCGTGTTTCATCGGTTTTTCGTGGATGCCAAATGGTGCTCCTCACGGCTCCGGTGTCACCGCCAAGGCACGGGTGAGCAGCCAGGTGACCGGTCAAGTGCAGTAAGGAGCAGCCGGGACCGTAAAGCTTCCGCCTGCAGGGAGACTGAGTTTGAGAGCACAAGGAGGCAGTTGCACAGTATATTCACATCGAGTTTCAGCAGGTTGACCAAAAGATGTATTCAGAGTGTCAACATATAACGCATTGAATTGTTGACTCTGTGATACATCAGGGATGATGACACGGAACATGGAGGAAGCCAAAAAAAAGATCATTCATGATTCTTCGATGTTTCGCTTCATGATGCAGCCAGCCGGAAAGCAAATTCATTCCTGCGGATCGAATGGATCGCCACGCCCCTGCCATGTCGCCCCCAATGTCTCTGCTCCTGAGCCTCCAACACGGATTTGCATGGCATCATGACACGCACCTGAGACAAACCCAGACATCAAGCTAGCAAAGACATCGTTCGCAAGCAGTCTCTAAGTGTGCGGCTAAGTTCCCAGACATAGCACTATTCAAGGAGTCCAAGGAAGGACGTTCTTGTCCCAACCTGAGCATCTTCAAATGAACACTGAATCGTTGAAGTTGGCACATGGTGTCAAACAGGTTCTTCCCCAAACTAGAGGGAACAAACACCCCCAAGAAAACAGTAGTGTCACAGAAATTTCTTCCCCATTCCCAAGGGCGATTTGACATGCCCTGACTTACAACTGGCCTGCAGGCCCTCTCGGCATCCCGGCAACACACGGCAAAGCTGCAAGTATTGTTCGTTTTCGCACATGACTGCCAAGTCCTGTGGGCGGCGTCTTCCGTGCACATGTTCAGCCTCCCTTCAAAACCGTCAATGTGAGGATGAACATTTGTTCACTCAAAGACGTTGAGAACGCACGACGACCTTGAGACTTGCCACATCTGAAGACCACGCACTTGTCAAAGCAACGCGATGCATTGATGCTCTGGACTCATGGTTGATGCCTGCGAAAGATCGCCAACCGAATCGAACAAGATGAATTGAGGCACCCAGCGGTATGCTCGTAGATCGACGAGAGTGTCCTCAGGCGAAAAGGGCGAAGTCTGGATGATCACTTCCTCTCTCCGGACGGAGTCGGCCACAAAAAATGACCGGAGCATCAGGGGTGGGTGTACATGAGCTGTTCTAGGGAACAAGCAACTTTCTTTTCGGTGAGTATAATCCCGAAGACTAACATGAACCCTGGGAATGAATGGGACCTGGAAAGACTGTTTTCCTCTACAAACCAGTGGTTTTCAGGGTCCATGTTAGTTTTTTCCATGGTGTAGTCCTATTGGTTTTTAGGGCGCTTCGATGGTGGTTCGGTCTCACATGGGCTCTGCATGGCTCTCCGTATGTCGCCATTGGTGCGATCTGATCAGCCGGTCGCCAGGGCCGCCAAGGGCCTCACAATGCAGCATTGTAGCACTGCACGCTGACCTCGAGCGGCACGGAGCGGCTGCACGGAGCGGCTCAGTCGACTCGTCAGGATTTCAAACCATAAGAGAACACTGAGCGACCATGGGTTGTGAAGCTAAACTACAAACTATGCAGTGACTCAGAACGAAAAATCAAAGATTCCCACTCAAGCTTGCTCGACTTGTCTGAAAGCGGGCAAACCAAATAAAGCAATGATGTTCATCTCCTCTTCGTATCTTCAGGCTCTTTGAGGTTCCCAAGTTGAAACATTGCTCAAATAATGTTGAAGATATGTATACACCATTATCATATCATAATGTCCCTTCATTCATCTTCATTCTATATTTCATTGATTCAATATCATTTCAATTCCATTAAACCCATGCATCGGATTCGTCTCGATTGTCACTCCGGTCACTCCGGGTGGCCACGCTTCGCCCCCCTGGAAAGGCCACACGGAGACCGACGCCAAAACCGCCGAAGGGAACGCCTCTCGCACCTGAGGCGACCGCGGCGAAGTCGACGCGGACGCGGTCGGGCGGAGCAACACAAAGGAAGAACATCACGATTCTCCGAATTGTAACAAACAAGATGTCAAGATGTTGTCAAGACATATCAAGGAATCTGACATGAACTCTGCCTGAACCTTCGAATGATACATCAATTTCTGAGAAACTGCTGCTTCGGATGAAGCTGACTTGGTGTCACTTGGCGATCCTAGGGATCCGGACGGCACCGAGCATGAAGGAGCCCAAGCCGCTGCCGGTGCCACCCGCCACGCTGTGCAAGGCCTGGCGAGGTGAAACCGTTTTTTCGACCTCGCGGCGTGGTTGATGGTTGGGTGTCGAAGACTCCCAGTTTACTTTGGATTCTGAGGTCGATTTTAAGGAAGATCTGAAGGTCTTAGACGACATGACTTTACATGACCGTTGGTCAAACACATGAAGGCGAACCACTGCGCGGAACACCTTCCGTCGCTGTGCCAAGAGTCAAATCGAGCTACCCGAACTGAGTCAGACGGCAAACACTTACTAGTATAGCTTCTTGTTACTAGTATAGCGATCTAGTAGCGATGGCCTCCACCTAATAGCGTCCTTGCTACTAAGCAAGCCTAGCTTCTGAGATGCACTCACGGCTTGAGCGGGCGCATCTCAGCGTCCCTTTTCACCGTGGTGTGTTAGCGAGTCCGCCGCGTACAGGGTTCAGGCAAAAGCTTGGGAAAATTCGGGTACTTCTTCCAGAAAAGGTAGGACAGCCTCATTCAAGGAGGAAACAATTTCACGGACGAAACTAAACGCTGCAATAAATGTTCAATGCCGCCTAACTATTCTTGACAAGCTCTGCCATTCAAACTCAAGTTTGTTATGGAAGGAGTGCACTCCAACCAGGGCAACCCAGGACACATACTCTCTGAAACCTGTCGCTTTCATGATCTCGACCAAACCATTCTGGTCGTACAGCCGAGGAGCTTGTACATCCTCTCCTCACGCATCATAACATCATGACAATGACAAACGCTACTAGGGGCTCCTGGCCTTACTACTAGGAGCAAGGACGCTACTAGGGGCTCCTGGCATCGCTACTAGGAACAAGAAGCTAGTAGGGGCTCCTGACTGTTGCACAATCATGTCATGACATTCATCTGGTCGGACAGCGCAATTGACAATCGACACTGCTCCAGTTGCTTCACTTCTCCCAAACTCGGTGGTCGACCAAACGTAACCGTTCCCCGCAAAGACTCAAAACCAATTTATCAAAACATATCAAAACGATGTCTTCTCGTTCTCACTCTCAATGGCTCCACACCAAAGGATATTCTTCCACTAGCGATTCCATTCTTGGGGGTCGAACAAACTGAGGGATGCCATCGTCGTGGTCATGTCCTTGCCACGTGAGCCATTCGTCAGACCGTTCCAGAAGTCCATTCCAACCTCATCTCGCGCAATGCTTGCCAGGACATGATGAGCATTCTATATTCAGGATTCAAAAGCATTGGAAAGCCATGATAAGAATAGGAATCTGGATGAATCTGGAAAGTTTGATTAATCATGACTTGAGGCCAAGGGGGGGGGGGCGAAAGCTAGCGCTCCAGAATGGGAAAGTGGAGGGCAGCGAGGTAGGAAAAAACACGGCGCTCTTTTTGGAGGCAGGGGTGAAGAGTCCTTTATATGTGGCTCTTTGCCCGGATCCTCCTGCGAGAGAAGAGAGAGAAGAGAGACGGAAAGACGAGAGACAGAGAGGAGAGAGAGAGAGAGAGAGGAGAGAGAGAGATGAGAGAGATGAGAAAGAGATGAGAGAGATGAGAGAGATGAGAGAGATGAGAGAGAGAGAGAGAGACAGTGAGACAGTGAGACAGTGAGAGTGAGCGAGTGCGGCCGCAAGATACGCAACGCTAACCGCATGCCAAAGAGCGACGACAGGACGGAGTCGAACTTGCGAAGAGGGAGGAGGGAGGGAGGGAGGGAGGGAAGGTGGGAGGAAGACAAGGAGGAGGAGAGGGGAGGTGGTGGGGAGAGGGGAGGTGGGGAGAGGGGAGGAGGGGGGGGGGGGTCTTCGACCTGAAAAATCAGGGGTTAGGATTTGCACCCGGTCGAAAGAAACCTTGCTATCGCAAGAGTAACTCCAGCTAGCTTCGCTAGCTTTCGTGATTAATCATGCTGAATACTCAGGAATATGTCACGCCATTAGGATCTGAAAGATTCTGAAAGCCCTTTGTGCAAGTGTGTTGCGATGAAATGTACGATCAACATCGATCAAGCAAATGGCAAAAGCAGTCTGCACAATATCATTCACCCAACTCCACTCTCAACTCCGGATTGTTGAGACACCTTTAGCTTATAGGTTCTATTCACAGTACATGGATTCGATTCGATTTTGCGTATGGTTTTCCGGCCACCGACGTCCCCGCTTGAGCCTCTCTCCGAGGTCCGAGCTCCTCGGTCCGTCGAGGGGTCGTACTCCACATGTCCAGCAGCACACCAATCCTTCAAGCTGGTCCTTGCGGCACGGTACGGCAAGGCCGCCCAGGTACGACCAGTGCACCGGCCCGCCCGAAAGACGCCTCTTGCAAAGGACCACTCGACACTGCTACTGTAGCATTCTTGTAACGAAAGAACAGGAGCGCTTCTGAAGAATAAAAGGCATCATGTTGCCAGTAGCATTCTGTGTCCGTTGTACATCCTTTCACAAGAACCGTCCAGAACACCTTCTGTCTGGCCCCAAATGAAGCTACATCCGGCAGTCAAGCTGCGAGGTGTTTCGGCCACTGAGCTCATCAAGAGACACATTTCCTGCAGGATTCAAAGAGCTTTCAGCTTCCATTGATTATATGCTCTCTTTCAACTCAAGCCTATGAGAAAAATATGGTAGGATGAAACACATGCTGCAAAATCAGGTTAGCCCCATTCCCATCTTTTTCATTCCTAATTTGCACAAGTTGCATGCAGCACCAGGACTTCACCAATAGCCGCGTGTCCCTAATTTCTCTCGCGAGTCGATGTGTTCATGGTTCATCGAAGGACCCGTTCCTTTCGTCTCCGTCATCTCCTGCGTATTCGAGGTGGAACGTACAATTCAGGCTTCCCGTCGGCTCAGCGCATTCACCGCCCGCAAGGTCCCGTTTACACCTCCAGAAAGAAGACAACACCAAAACTACTGTTCGGACAAACAGAAGGCAAGCTTCGCAGCATGACACCTGCACTGGAAAGATACACCTTACATATTCTTGCATGATCATTCTCCACTCCACCAAAAGGACATCCACTGATCTGAACAAATCACATTCTGCAGACTGTACACTACTTAACTGCCTCTTCAACTTGCAAAAACAACAAAACACATATTGACGTCTTCTGCAACTGAGATGCGTCTCGGTCTTCTGCTCATTTGGAAGATTTGGGCATGGCCCAGGCAGCGAATACCATGCAGAATGCGACTGAGAAGGGTAGCCTGAGAGTGGTCCGCGAGTTGTCCGCGTTCCCTTTGTGGATCCCCACAGAACATGCAGTTTTTCTTGATTTGATAACCCCCCCTCTTCATCTGGTGGGTTTATGGATCAAGAGTCTTTGCATACCAATCCAGGAAAACAGGTGGAGGAGTGAGACCAAAGCCTTTGGAAGATCGACTCCCTCATGTGGAGCCTGTCTCGCCGAGCTGTAAGGCAAGCAATGAAGCTGAAGGATACCATTCTGGAAGAATTTCAGTCTTAAAACCTCCTATGCATTCGCCTAGCCTAGTGATCTCACTTGGTTGAAGAACACATGCAGCCAACATGACAGCCAACGCCTCCCCCCCCAAGCGAAGTTGGGAGTTGGCTCGTGTTGGCTCCTCTCAGATCGATCTCCCCAAACTCCGCGAGGTCGAACTCCGCCCCGTCTCCGCTCCACCACGGTGTTGTTTGGACCGAACCGCTTTGTCTCGTGTGGCTTCTCGCTCCTGCGAGGCCCGTTCGACCTGCTGGTTTCGGTCGAGAGGTCGACCAGGAAAGACCCAGGCGAAAAAGGGGTATCGAGTGATCATTTTGAGCAAAATTCAGAATTTTTATGAATTTTTCACATACAGAATCATGGAACACGCTATGTAGCCACCCTGAAACTGGCACCAGGCTGAAAGAGTTGACCACCCTATCAATGGATATCAAACGGAACCTGCAACAGCCATCCATTCCGCAGATAAAAAGAAAGGAACGACCTCCAGCAGCAGAAATCGGGAATCCAATGTTTCGAACCTGGTGAAATCGGCCAACCTCCTGACCCAAGTCAGCTAGTGCAACTAGGCAAGCGTCTGCCCCCAGTTGATGTCTCAGCACATCCCACGGTGTAGCCTTGGATGAAGGGCCACGCGAACCCAGGGCTACATGATATTTAAAACTCTGGGGAAAAGAATCGAACAGGGCATCACGGGAATGGACCTGGTGCCAGTCCATCAACCGTTAGTATTGATTCAGGGATTCTGACTTCAAAAAGAACACAGCCAATGAGGAAATCTTCCGGATCAAAAACTGAAGCTCCTCTGCTCCATGTCCCCGGTTCTTTCCCATGTGCCCTCTCTTCAAGAGTGGTGAGAGTTGAAGATGGGCCACAAAAATGATCCTCCATCGACAGTTTCTTCAATGGGGTTGATGGGGTTCTTCACTTTCGCCAAGACTCCGAACTGCTGAAAAGTCTGGTTGCAGAATGAAGACACGCACTGCCCATTCCTGTGATGCTGGGCGGGCCAATGTGGCATAATGTAGCTTTTTTGATCCAAGTGTGGGGACGCACCAGGCTACCATTTGCCTCTGAAGACTCACATTTGGATCTGCATCGTACTCTCCAGACATCTCCAAACACACTTTCCTCTACAAACCGTGAATTTCTTGGATTCTGCGGCGTCTCTGCTTTAGGTTTCAGCAAGCTGGTTTCACAAGGCCGGCGGCCTCACCCAGTAGACTTCATGACTCCGCTTTTCAGATGTATTCACCATGGAACATACCGTGACCGCTGGCCACTTCTTAACCAGCAATTAGGGCCATTCAAAGCCATTTCACCAAGACACAGAAGGAGGCTAGTCTTATCTTGCTATCATTTTCAGATGTCTTGCTAGCATCGTCTGAATCGCCTGCCTACTCAGTCTCACTTTGCCACCGGAAGCTCTGTTCGTCTGCACCGGAAGTCGTCCGGGAAATCCATGCCCGTCCCGCCTAAAGTGGTGTAGCGGACCGAATTCATGGTGTTGCTGCCTGGGCTGTTCGGTATCTTCCCATCGAACGAACGAACGACTCAATCTTACGACCCAAAGCTGCAACATCTTCAATCCATCTGAAACCCTGTTTACGCCTTCATATGCCATGCTCCAAGAAATCCAAGAAATCTTCCAAGCATTGGGCGTCGTGAAGAGAAGGAGCTGAGTAGCCAGCCTGAACATCTCCTCCGTGTTCTTCATGGTGACCTTCAGCCGATGAATCCTGCTGATCAGCCAACGGTGCATCCAAAACGCACGACCGCACGGCTGCACGGCCGCGATTTTGGAAGGGCTGTCTTTGGGAGTTGGTCTTGGACTCTTGGAGGAGGACATCCTCCAACAACAAGGCTCGTTTGACAGTCTGAGAGTTGTGATTGTCCCGAGAGGTTCAGGAATATATGGTAGTCTATGCTTAACAAGATGGAGCCCACAAACCCGAATGCAAACACGTTCAAAAAGCTACATATGTCCAAATGACACTCTTGTAGGACACTCTTGTGGGACACTCTTGTGGGTCACTCTTGTAGGAAACTCTTGTGGGACACTCTTACGGGACACTCCTGTGGGACACTCTTGTGGGACACTGTTGCGGGACACTCTTGTGGGAC